ATTTATAATTATAAAAGTAATATTTAAAGTCAAAGATTGACTTGCAAATAAAACACGGGCTAATTCACATATTTTAGAATGTTGAAGGATATTCATTTTTTTTTTTGTTTGTCTCTCAACACGTGTCCATCAATTATGCCTTCTCATCTCCACAATTATCTCCTTCAACTTCAATCTCGACCATTCACGTGTCCTTTTCGGGCCTTTTTCCATATTTGATTCAAAAAGATGTATTGCAGCTGGTTTCTGGTTCTTGTTGTAGAAGGCGAAGAAGAAAGACAAGAAGACGGATTCGGGTCAAGCCGGAGTTCTAAGAGGTGGCTTGGCAGTGAGTTTCTCGACTATGTTTCTGTTATAAGTAGCGGTATAGTAAATGTTGCATTTGATTTGGTCGATGTTGTTGCCATTGGGCCAACTGGTTTTGGCGATCCAAATCCAAATGTTTTGGTACTTGAGCATTTTCATGGTGAAAATAACGGCTTTGATCATCTAATCGAAGAGGCTAGCGTAGGTCAAGTTCAAAAGGATTGGTGTAGGTGATATTCCGAGACTAAAGCACGGCGTAATCGAGGTTGATGTTTTAGGGATCCATCGACTAGGGGAAGTATGTGTACACATCAACGAAATAGGACGATTTGGTCCGATTCAAGAATTGCAACATAGGTTTTATCACCGGAACCACAATATCTGACCCAAACGTACCATTCGATAGCGAAAAGGTTGACTCTAATACATCCATTGCCATCGACATCCCAACTTTGATCTTGTGCAACTCACAGTCTTCGGAGGCAAAATAGTAAAATAAGGGAGAATTCTCCCCTACAGGATACATGTGAGAGGAGCAATTAGGAAGTCTAGGGCAAATTCAGCGCAAGGAGAAACACATAGAGATGACCTGGAATAAGTGGGTCCCATAATATGAAGTTGGATAAAAAAAATGATTTTGAAATAATTTTTTATATTATTTTTTATACAATTTGACATATCATTTAAATGATTAATTTTTTTATTTATATAAAACACATAATATTAAACATATTTATTTATTTAATAATACCTGAAAAAAAGTGATATAAAAGGATTATCATCACCCAAAAAATAATTAAAAAAAGTTGCTAATGCGCGACTATCTGCATTTTAACAGTGAAAAAAATGTCATTACTCTTAAAATGGACGAGGGATGAAATTGAACTTTTTTTTAATGGTTAACTTAACAAATCATTTATTAATTTTTATAGTTTTTTTAGTTTCATTTATTATTTTTGAATTCTTTCAATCATATTTATTATCTTTTACATTTACTTTAATTTCATCTAGTTTGTTATCTTTAATGGAAATATCTATTATCTAACAGAATCTTCTTATTCAATAAAAAAATATTTAATCTTTTAACTATATTTGTTTTGATTTTTTAGTTTTTAAAGTTATATTTACTGTAAAAATAGTTTTTAATCTTATCTTACTAAATGTGTTATTCAGAAAATTATTTTATGGAGCGGAGTGTATGTAATTTATTCTATAAAATTATTTAAATGTCCTTAATTTTATTTTTATATTATTTTTTTGAAACATTTAAATAATTTTTCAAGACAGACTACATACAATTTACCTTATAAAATAGATTAATTGCTCAAGTTTATTACAAATTTTAATTAATCTATCTCTATAAAATATTTTTTGAGTTATCATATTTTATTAAAATTATAGTGTCACTTTTTTAAAACTTAAAGAACTACTCTTTTTATTAAATTTAACAAAATTTTGTACTGGTAGATTATTTTAAAATATTTTCAAAGTTTATAGATTATTTAAAAAGAAAATAAACTTTCTAAACTAAAAAAAAAGAAGTAAACTTATAGTTAATAGACTAAAAATTGAATTAAGCTCTTTTTAAATGGTAGAGGAAGGACATGACAACCTAAATTAAAGTAGAGGGAGAACATGAGGTAAATCCACCATAATAGAAGGTTTAAATTGAATTTTTTTTAATAGTAGAGGGCGACAGTTAGGTTTAACCCGTGCAAATATAAACTTCCTTTGTTTGTGAGTCGACAGACCAGTAAAATGCCCTTCCAACATGTTTAATGATATCAAGTAGAGTTGATTATTTGAAATTTACAAAATATACTTCTTCATGATATATTTAATAATAAGTATACAAAAAAAAAAAAAGAACCTCCTTTTTATTTACTTTATTCATATCAAGATTTGAACTAAAAATTTTAAATTCATATTAGTTGAGGCATATTTTTTAGTTTAAAACTTAAATTTATTGTAATGGATAATCTTAGAGGCTCCATGTCAGAACTTACAACGAAATTCGTAAACGATAGTGATCTACAGAAATTCTACCTACCTCATCCCAGCAAAAGAATGCTACAATACAGCCCCAGAGAGTACCATATTGTCATTATTTTGTTATCTTCTGCTTTGAACTGAGGAAGTTGAAGAATGATGCTAATACTTGAGCAATTTTACAACAACATTCGGCAGCTAAATAGGACCATTTACAGTTATATATCTGGCATGACAAATTCTCATCCCGCATGAGATCCCAAAAGCTTTAATAAATTGGGAAACCGAATCCTTAATCTTTTCCATCTACTCGTTATTAGCAATGGCTGCAAACCTAGCACGTGTTCTGGCATGAAATCATGCCTTGTCAATATACCAACGACTGGTGAAATCTGCAATCAAATATTGTAAGTCCGTATAAACTCATAAGAGGTAATGAAAATAAACACAAAAGACACTTTTAAACAGAGAGTGAAAAACAAAAGGTCCAGAAGAAAAACAAGCAAGTAGAAGCTTGGACAAGCTGAAAAGCAAGAGAACAAATTGAGGCGACCACATAGGGAAAGTTTCTTACGCTGGGGATCTTGGGTATCACAAGTAGGTGCCTCAAACCAATTTCACGGAATAGTACAAGAGCCTTAGCTAGTGACATGGTCTCCACAACAGTATATGGTGAGGTGTTAGTAAATGGATGTAAATCCAAGAACATCTCCATCTCTTCCTCTGTTAATTCTATATCTTCAATCTTGTCAGAGTTACCTGAACTCTTCTTTGCAAAATCCTCAGCTGAGAATGGTCTTAAAGCATGATCGCCTGTTGGCACAGAAGTGGACAAAAAAGCTCTCTTCTTTAACAATACAATAAGATGTTCACGAAGGATTAAACCATACAAAACTGCTGATTGAGAAACTGAAGGCTCATCAACTACAGGGAACCCATTGTGCCTTGTAGTTTTAAGAACATGTACTATCTTACCAACCTTCTCAATTCCATGAAAGATCTGTAGTGGACCAGTCACTACATCACCAACTGTTAGCTGTCTCATGTAAGGTTCAGCATGAGCTTCTAGGTAAGGAAAACCCTTGGCTTTCATAATAAGGTCATATATGTTCCCATTGAACGTATCAGCTACAGTCTTGGAAACAAGGAGAACCAGCATTATCAAGGGCAACAATAGAAGATTATTGGTGAGTTCTAGGATAATAACACATAAAGAAACTGTCATCCTCATAGATCCACCAAGAAACGAAGTAGCACCAAGCACTGCATAAAGACCATGATTGAGATTTGAGTTTGAACCAACTAACATTCCAACAAAGCGCCCATAGGATGCTCCTGTGACTATAACAGGTACAAAAAGACCCACTGGAGCCACAATCCCACAGCTAAAAATACTCAGAAAGAAGCAAGTGACAAAGAAAATGAGAATTGATGAGTACTGAAACTCAGAATTGGTATTCTTGCTGAAAAGATTTCTGATAGCATCATCATTTGTGTTAAAAATAAGGCTAGCCAAATCATTGTAGTGATCAGGAGGGCATTGGAATTTCTTGTAGTTACCAGATCGGCCAATTGTAGGACAGGCTTCTGCTGCATCAAATGGGCATGGTTGGCAAGATGCAAGCCATGGTAATCCAAAAAGAAGACAGGATGTGAAAATGGAGATGAAGCAAGCAAGAAAGATTTTATAGACAAAGCCCTTCCTGAAACAGAGAATAGAATCAATCAATCAAGGATAAACTAGCAAATTATATTAAACATTTAAACCAGATATTTGAAAGAGTAATTGCCTGCAAAAAATCAAAGAGAAAAAAAAGGAGCTTCTTACTTTTTAATTTGGTTGTAAAATCGGAGAACCTTATCTAAAATAAAATTATATAAACTTCCCAAGACACCTCCTATGACTCCAAGAAGAAGCACAGAAGGAACATCCGTCAGGTGATATGAAACACTTTTTGAATAGACGTCAAACATTATTAAACCCCCTTTTCCAAATAGTCCACATTTGCCGCTTAAACAAACATCAATTAGACCCCGAAGCACAATTGCAACAACAGCCGTTGTGAAGAAAGCTCTCCATAAAAGGGCACTTCTCCACCTGCAGAATAAATACTGAACACTATTATGCAACATAAATACATTCATTCCAGCAAATATTTTGCTATGCTATCTAAGTCAAAATCACATCATGAGGACCACATAAATGGTAAAAGTAAAATGTGCCATATCAAGGGCACAACTGAACTCTTTCATCTCCAGCACAAGTTAGAAAGGAAAAGAACGCAATATTCTTATCGAAAGCCTTTGTGATGATATAAACATTACTGTTAACTTTGTGAACAAAACAATAGATTAATGATTAATTTATCAACGAATGAAAATGCAAGAAATTAAAGATTGGCAGTTGACAGACATAGATGGTCATTTAACAAATTTCATTAAGCAGGATGAATTCATCCATGATCCAGAAATTAGAGTGTATTAAATTTCCAATCATATTTTAAGAAAAAACCAGGTACAAAAAATTTAGGGCATCAAGAAACAACATTCAAAAGGAGCTCTAGTCTAGCTGTTTAGCTTAAAAGAAAACACCAACATGAAACAGTATGCAGTCAAGAAACAACATACAAAAGGAGCCCCAACTGGTTAGCTTAAAAGAAAATATTAACATCAAACAATATGCAGCATTTGATAGTATGGCATCAGATACATTTTCTCCATACATAAAACAGAACTGCAGATCCATAAGCACAAATGGCAAATTCTACAATGTGTAGTCGGTCCACTCATAGAAATTAAAGTGAAATAAACCAAGACAACATCTTGGCAAATTCTAAGACGTGTAGTGGATCCACTCATAGAAATTACATACCAAGATGCCATTTCTTCAAGAGCAAACAGCACACCACCAACTGGAGCACGGAAAGCTGCAGCAATTCCAGCAGCTGATCCACATGTTATAAGATCTCGCTGGTCTCGATCATTCTTAAAGTAACCTAACCATTTCCATGTCATGCTAAATTTTTTTGAACCACCCTGTCCCATCAATGATGCAACACAAGCACCAGTATGAACCATAGGCCCCGCCTTTCCAACCAGCAGAGATGAAGAAACTGCTGTGATGTTTCCAAAAATCTGCACATCAGACAAGGACAAAATTTTATTTTTCCTATGAAACTAAAGAAATAAAGCAGAAGGTTGTCTCTCTCCAACTTGCAAGAAGAGGGCTTTAAGCCAACAATTATTACAAAATTTAAACCCACTAATGTACACTTCAACCTTTTGGCCACACTTCAAGTTGAATACTGCAGGGATTTTTCACAGAATAATAAGCCATTACAGGATCCCAATTTATAATGACAAAACAGCGGAAGATATCGGAAAATCCAAGAATTTAAATTAGTAGTTGAAACACTTAGAAATGAGAAGAATAACCTTAACAACTAAAGTTCGAAAGGATAGAATTCCGGGCGCATCAACCCCATTCAAGTAGGCCTTCACTTCCGGAATACCGGAACCAGCGGCTACTGGCGCGGCGAAGGCCGTGAGACTAGCGGCAAAGAACGTAAGAACCAGATTGGAAACAGAGAACACCAGAAATGCCATCCCATACCTGTATCCAAAACAGGAACTTCAGATAAAAATCAAAAGAAAAAAAAAGAAGAAGTTATAATTCTCAACAGAAAAACTTATCCAGCAAATTCCGAAGTGCTCCGAACAATTCCTCTTTATAGTTCAATTTAATTTGGATGAAAATTGTCCAGTAAATTAGAAAATTAAAAGGAAGAGACCTGCCCATCAACATCATGTTCGAGGTGACCACGAACTTGATGCCTGCAATATTCTCGACGGCGAGATTGTTGAAGAAGCCGATGAGACTAACAATAATGCCAATCAAGAAACACAGCAGCCACTTCATAAATATGTACTGGAAAATATGGATGCTTCCGCGGGCTCTCCAGTCTTGCCTGAAGAAATCATTCTCCACAATCCTGCGAATCCAAAATTCAATGAGTGATAAACAATTCGAGAAACTGCAGAAAAATGGAGTAACTTAGCACTATGCTAAATTGCTCACTCGTAGTCGAGGCTCTCGATGGGACAGATGTTGGCGCCAACGATGGCAACCTGAGAAGAGGAGTTGGGAGTGGATCGGTGGCGGGACAGCAAGGGGGTGGTGAGGGATACATGGTCGCCGTCTTGGTTTGGCTGCGCCTGCGGCGGGGCATTATTCGTCATGGCGTGTAGCCAAAGCGGAAGAGGAGATGAGAAATTTCTGCTATGTGTAGAGTTGAAGTGGATGTGTTTGTAACGGATTGAAACTCTATATTGTTGAAAATTTTCTAAATTAAAACTAAATAGTGTTGAAAACACGACGAGAAATTGCACCTGCTGCCCGGCTCTGTATTTTTAACGCCACGTCGTATATGACCACTTCTGACGGTGCGTAAATTACGAAATAGAAAAGGAGGAGTATATTTTATTTTGATGTTAGAAGAAGGAAAATACAAACGGAATCAGTGTTTTAAAAATTGTATCAGATCGATTTATCCGAATAATGGGTAAGTGGTAAAAAGATGGTTAAATCTATATTTTGGTCTTTTTATTTTGGTAAAAAAAAATTTTAGTCCTTTTATTTAAAAAAATCACTTTTTGATCTCTAAAGTTTGAAATCAGGTATTTTTAATGATTCCATTAAGTTTTATATACGTTGCACATTAGGTAACAAAAATTTCAAAATAAATGGACTAAAAAGAGGCTAAAAATAACCCCAATTTAGTCATATGAAAAAAAATTTCTTTTTGATTCGTTTCTTTTTGATTCGTTTCTTTTTAAATTTCCATCATCTTATGTTAAAACTCAATAAAGAGACTAAAAAAGAATCGGATTTCAAACTTTAGAGATTAAAAAAAGATTTTTTTAAAAGTAAAGACTAAAAAAAAATTTTTTATCAAAATGAAAAGACCAAATTAAGATTTTAACCAAATTGTTATAATATTTTTTATTTAAAGAAATATACACGAGGGAAGTAAACGAAAGGATGCCCAAATCCCTCCATTTCTCCCTAGT